TTAGACCTGTAACTTTTTGAGTTTTAATTTTTGCTTACTATGACAATAATTTTGATGTAATTTACTACTTTAGTTAAAAACATTATAGTTTTCTTTGTCTCTTAAGTTTCATATATTAAAATAAAATTTCTAATTTACTAATTTCAATTTGGAAAAGAACGAAACACAATCTTAATCCATGATTTATCCTTCAATCATTCTATATTTTGTATTTGGGGTTTTGGTTTTTATGTCCCCCCCCCCCCCCTTTATTTTTTTATTATAATTAATAAAATCAACATGCAGATGATACATTTAGCTTGACTAGGTTCCAAATTCTTGAAAAAATTGCATGTTTCGCTGTTTCATTGCCTTAACAAAATAGGCTTGGGAGCATTTTTTATTATTGTTATATAGGGCATCAAAAATCTTAGGACCGACCCTGATAGGTGTTTAGTATGTGGTTGGAAGATTTTTCAAACATCTTGACCAAAAAAAGATTTGAAGGAGATCGTGTGTGAGACTTTGAATATGAAACAAAAACAACATTTTGCATGCTTCGAATATTCATTGGTCGATGGTCGACACTTCCGTGGCTTTTTCCAACCCTAATCCATTTTGGCATATTCAACTCGCCCATCGACATCGTTAACATTCCTCTAGAAATTACTCTTTATGGATGTTACGGTCACTAGGTGTGTACACGGTACACCCACACTATTGAATACGTTTTTTTATATTTTTAATTTTAGATTTATATATTTAAAAAAAATTATAATAAAAGATATAGACACACTAAAAATCCGTAAAATCATGGATTTTTTTTACTAACCTGGATCCAACCCGCTATGCAAGCCGACTAATTTCAGAATAACCAATCGTTTCATGGATAGCTCGGAGTCAATCGCATTTGAACCTTCATGGCCTTAAGGGGATTTTTATTCATTGGATTCGGGAAGAAAAAAAATTAAAACTAAGTGTGTTCTCTTAATTTTTATAAAACTAAAGAGATCGACTTCAAACTTCATCATAAAAAAAAACAAAGTTAAAATTTCATTCACCTCCCTCTCTTTTTATAACATTTTTTCTTCTTTCTTTTACCATCTATCTCTCAATGTGGGACAATTTCACTAACCCTTTTTATAAGTTTTCTAAATCTTTTTTTAATTGTGATTATAATAAAAAATAATTGATTAATTTTTATAATTAAAAAAACGCATGATTTTGTTTAAATATCTAAAAATATAAGACATTTTTATTACTTATATTTTACAAGTTTTATCATAAAAACTTATTATATTTTAAAACTAATTATATATATATAATAATCGAGCAACTCACGAGTTTTTCGAGTCGAATAATGGGTAACTTGACTCGACTCGTTAAAGTGTCGAGTCGAGCTCGAGTTCGAGTCGAGCCTATTCGAGTCGAATGTTGATCAAGCTTTGACCGAGTCGATCTCGAATAGCTTGCGAGTTGTCTCGTATCGTTTATACCCCCTAGAAACGACTGTGATAATGGCACCCCTTTTAATAAAACAAGCCAAGCAAGATCTCGTGTCCTTAAATTTTTATAACCCAAAATTTATAACATAAATTTGAATTGATTGAGAATTTGAAATGGTTATGACAACTTGGGTAATGGAACGAACCCCTTCTAATAAAAAGACTCTAGGTTATAATTTCTTTTAAGTAGATCGGGATAAGATTAAATACTTTTTTTTTTAGGTATTTAAAGAGTTTAAATCTGTTGTCCATTATTTTAAATCTTCTAATAAAAAGGTTGTACGTTCTAAATGATTATTTAGATTTCACAAAATCTAAAGAGATGGCCCGTTTTGTTTAAAAAATGACTTAAATTATTTTTTCTCTTAAATCAAGGGGATGATCATCCATATCTTTTGCATCCTTTCAAAAAAAAAGTGATGTCCATTTCTCCCTCTCTCCTATAGATTGAAGTATTTTACTCTCGTTGTGAAGACACATCTTTTGGAGCATTTACTTTCAACTGAAAATATTTGGAGCAACTAAAGATCTTTAATTTTATGTATTTACTTCTTATTTTGTATTTAATTTTAGCTACGTTTATGTCCACTATCTACCTGCTAATCACCTCTTTTGGGTGTAAGTGTGAGTCAAATTTAAGACTAGTAAGCACACTTTAGTGTTGCCAATGTTACTAATTCTTAAGTTTGGTCACTTAAAGTCGGGACTTAACCTCAACGTAGATATGCCGATCAATTTAAAGTGTTAATAATAAATCTTTTGATCCAGAGATGGACGAATTTTAAAAATACGGCTTAAATGATGCACAAAGATTTGAAAGAATCATTAATAATCACATAGAGATACAGATTTTGCATGTTTTTAGCGAAGGTTCAAATATTAATCGAAATTTACACTACAAAGAAATTTGAGTATATATCTTCAGGCTAATGAAACTATATATCTTTTTATCACTAAGCTAATTCATAAAGCTTAAAATTGATGACTTTGAGAACTTTCTGGACACTCCGTGGACACAATATATGAAAATTCACTTACAATCATCTTAAGAAAAACTTACACCCCATGCTCATCTCTTAATTTGAAAAGGTTTATTTCATCTTTTAAAAAATTTCTATTGACAAAAACTTGTCTTTTACTTGCAACTGAAACGTGCTCAAGAAGTTCATGAAACCATTTGATTTTCATTATTCCAATCCACGTGAAAACGATCTCTGTACTATACCACTTTATTACTTGAAACAATCATAATGTCGGCATGCACTTGCACCATAAATGTGGGGACTTTTTGCCAACTATGTAAAACAGTTATAATTCTTAGCAATCAACTATATATAAAACATTTCACTTGCCAAAGCTCACGGAGGCGTATCCGTATTTGGAGGAGTCAGTGAACGGATTCGTGAAGGAAATGATCTTTACATGGAAATGAAAGAATCTAGAGTAATTAATGAAGAAAACATTGCAGAGTTAAAAGTGGCTCTAGTTTACAGTCAGATGAATGAACCGTCGGGAACTCGTATGAGAGTTGGTTTGACTGCCCTAACTATGGCGAAATATTTTCGAGATGTTAATGAACAAGACATACTTTTATTTATTGACAATATCTTCCGTTTTGTACAAGCAAGATCTGAAGAATCCGCCTTGTTGGGTAGAATGCCTTCCAAATTACCTTAGACCTACGCAACAGGAACGACATGGAGCACCTACTCTACTGGTCCGCTGCTCTATCGAGGACCTCCTTATCTAGGTACAAAAAGGACATTACAGGGTATCTCCAAAATTCGATGTACTTCGTGCAGGACACATCTCATGTTTGCCGAATCTAAAAACCATCACCTTTATTTCACTTCATGGTGAAGTTAGATTTTAGACTAGGATAAACTACGTCAAAGCCCTAAGATAAATAAACCGGACACCCTAAGAAACTAATGAACCTTGAAATTTACTTTTGAACTCAATTTTTTTATCAATTTTAATCTTTACTAAAAAACTTATTTGATTGAATTGACTTGTTCAATCTCRACGATTGAATATAAATAGGCTATTATGAGTTCAAGCAAGCCGCTATGGTGAAATCGGTACACACTGCTCTTAGGAAGCAGTGCTAGAGCATCTCGGTTCGAGTCCGAGTGGCGGCATGCCATCTTATAAAAGAGATCCAATAAATCCAATAATAAAAATAAATTTAAATTCCCGATTTATATTTCTTAATTTTTATGATATTTTCAACTTTAAAAGCATATATTAACTCATATTTCCTTTCATAATTATTGTGTAAAATATGATACTTGTTATAAGAAGCAAATTATAGTAACTAATAACTTCGTTTAGTATTTTTTTTATCTAATAGCATTTCATCATCGAACTGCTCAACTCATTCAGATTGGATTGGGTTCCACTTTTGGATTGATTAGTTGGGTTGAGATTTTCTAAAACCACCATCATGAATTAGATTTTAAAATATTCCTAACCAGCCACAACCCAATCCGTATACAACCAGTTCAAGCCTCAAAATGGCAATCACATTCATATAGTCCTTATCCACAAAGCATCCAGACCACAAATTAGCGCTCATACTCATTAACTTGGGCTTAAACCGACTGGCTTGTGGTTTATCATTCAAAATGGCACTCGTATTTGGACAAATTGGCATTCATATTCATATTCAATTCTTTAGATAAGGTTTACTTCGAAGGTAGAAGACGGCATCTTGCCAAACTCTTTTAAGGTCGTTGTTTATTTATGGACCCAGATGCAAGATTGATATGCATTTAGATGAAATTGATTTTGACGTTTGTGTTAAATAAATCTGACAGATCTAAAGAGGCATCAAATTGTAAAAACAAAGGAACGAAATTCAGATGCAACTTACTCATCAAAGGAGATCAAATCTCTCAGTCCAAGTGTTGGATATGCGTATGTTTTGCTTCATCCTTATCTCACCAAAACTCGAGGTTGATTCAAATATTAAAACATGAACAATTATTAGAAATCTAGTGATATAAATCACAAATCCCACACTGAAAACTTTAAAACATGTGGAACCAATTCAATACCAGATAATAAATTCTCAATACGAAATCGTTTGACAAACTCCGATTTGTGTTCGAAATCTATACGACTACGAACTGGAAGGTAATCCCATCCCAATCATTCGAGTAGAAGCAGAAATAAGATGTTCGAAATTTTCATCACAAAATCGAAGAGATCTTCAGAGTCGAGAAAAACAACTAGATTATCAACAATAACCTAAAAAAATTACGAAAATTGAAGAGATTTTCAAAAGTATGATTGACAAAGAACATTACTCAGAAGGCATGAAGTTTAATTTGGTTCGATTCTGCCAGCAGAGTTTCCTCAACTTTTAAATCAGAAGAGGGAGCTTTGTATCCTCACCGTAACATCATTCATTTCCCAATCAAACTCATATACTTCAAAACACAGATCACAAACCACAAACAAAACCAAATTCATAAACAACAAACAAAGTTTAATTGATGATTTATAAGAGAAGATCGCTCAGTTCAGCGGGATTATCGACACGCAAACAAATCTCTAAAGAGAGATGCCTGCATTCCGGTCTGTTGAGCTTGAATTTTCCGAGTCATCACCGCGATCACTCTAACAATTTGATTTACAGAATCCAAAAAGGAAAACAACAGAAAACCAATCAGAATTAAAAAAAAAATTAAGCAAGAAGAAGGAAGAACAGAGGCGGCGATGGATCGATGTATGGATGGATGAAGTAAACGGACGGTTTGTATGGGTGTATAAATAGGTTCTCAGATTAGGGTTTAATCGACTGTGGCTGGGTTTTCCTAGACGGCCCGTTAGGCATTCTACACACATTTTTTAGTAAACTACGATTTTAGTCCCTGTGGTTTGTTGTTTATTGCAATTCTCATCCCTAATATTTAAACATTACTTTTTTCGCCTCATGTTGTCCCACCTTGTCCCAGTTTTTATCCCAGTCCCATGTTGCATCAAACGTGGGACAGTGAATTCTTATTATGTCTCATGTTGTGCCAAACATGGGACAGTGAGTTTTATCTCGTCATGTCCTGTCCCGTCCCATGTACCAAACACAGCCTGAGGTTGATGATGTTAGAAAATATCCGTTAAACCAATTTGTGTTGTGGGTTGTATTATTTTTATTTTTATTACAAATTGCAGTTGCATGAGACCAAGTCTGACCACAGGATGCTAGCTTGACTCAAACCCGAGATAGATGGGATATTCCACCACATCCCCTAGACTTTTTGCCAACATGCCACCATCCTTGTTTGTAGAATAAGATAACGAGAAGACCAATATCAGAGTTACATTATATAGGGTAGTGACGCGGCACTTGGTTCTGGACACGGAAAAATAAAAACAAAGAAAACAATTTAAAAAAAAACTAAATTAGTCTTAAGTTAAAAGGTCTTCCTTAACGATGTTAGTCTTAAGGACAAAAAAAAACCACAAAGATTTAAAAAAATAAAATTTAAAGACCAGGATAAAAAAATCCTTATGAACCACAGAACATAAAAAGTTTATACGAAAACAATAACCAACTAAGAAAATAAAAATAATAAAAAAAATAGTCGAATGACATGTGATTTCATACTAAAATCACATGTGATTTGATCGTTTTCAATTTCTCTTATTTAGTTATTGTTATCGTTTGAACCCCTATCTATTTGTTTAAACTTGAACAGGGCTGATACAATTTATATATCGCAATAGTACAAATACATTATCATATTTCTTTTGTTTTAAGTATTTACTTAAAAAAAAACATATAAAAATACAACCAAATGTAAGGAGGGTGTATAAGTTTATTTGTTGCATTTGTCGTACATAAATATCATATACTTCGAAAAAATATATATAAAAATACAACCAAACGGTAACTCTCAATATTGAGAACACCCAATATTCATCCACTTAAAAACCAATAATTTATATAAATGATACCATGTTTATGTCCCTAATCTTGTTACCGTAACCTGAACAAAAAAAACAATTCTTAAGATGCCTATAACCAAAATTGCTATACAATCCAAATGGTGAACTTTTTCTTTAAATTTTTTCCGAAAAAGTGGGACCCACAAGTTAAAAAAACGAGCTTTTCGAAAGCTTGTAAATGCACGAGCGAAAAACATGTTTTTTTTTCCGCAAATTTAGTTGGCCAAAACGGGAATTCGAGAAAATGCTGTTCCATTGTAGATGTTTTTATACCCTCAGAAGCCTCAAGCAAGATGCTTTGTTCCATTGGTGGTAGAAATCATGTTACAGTGACTTGTACTGTTCGATTAAACGAGATGCATGGAGACGTGAAGTTGGGACCGTGGTGCATCCTAGATTCTGTAGGTACGCAATCTGTGCAGAACAGAAGCACAAGTCTCAGTTGAGGGAACATAAAGTCGAACACGGTTCACCTGCGAAAAACGATGAAAATATTTCAAGAGAAGGGGCCAACTCACCTGCTTAGATGTAGCAGCAGACGAACCCATTGCGCTCTCGATCCTTAACTTTTGAAAATGTTCCTGCAGAGGAAAGACAAACATCAAACCACTTCCAACTTTCGGATGTGAATCCTTGTTTCGGGCTGTAAAAAGATTACGGATGACAGATTTTCTGTCTTGTGATATATTTGCTATCTACAATTGTTATAATGTGGGTTTGGTATGCGGATGAGACTGGACGGACTACATCGAACAAGACTCAACTAATGAGAAGAGAAGTAGGCGGGTGAAAGAATTCTAACCGGTTTTAGGGTTTTATTTTGATATGGGTAATTTCGTAATTTACCAATCTTCCTGATTTTTGTTCCACCAAAAAAATGTCTTTTGTCCCACTTGTGTCATGTTCAGTCTCATGGGGTAACAGTCATCACTCTTACTTACCGGGTAAGGCTCTCGGTCCTTATCATCGCTCTTACAGGGTAACTTGTCATGTTTATCCAATAAGGTAAATTGACTCGGTAAGCACTTACCAAGTAAGTGCTTAGTAAACAGCCCCTCAATCTAATTTGGCACCAAACATGGGGCAACCAGTTTTTGTATCAAATGCACCCTGTTAGTGATTTGTATCACCAATATCATTTAAGTGTAATGGGATTAATTTGTTGACCAATGTAATCTTGATAAATATTGAACAAGGGTGGTGCGGCACGCACACTTGTTTGAGTTTATTTCGATTTAAAGTATACCGTTATTTAGGAGCGAAGCCCCTAAACGACGGGGGTCCGGGGGCAGCGCCCCTGGTAGCGGGTCCAAGGGGCAGAGCCCCTGGCTGGGGTCGGAAATTTTTTATTCGAGTTAATGTTACTATATGGAAAATGCACGAAAATCTGAATTTGTGATTTTGAACCCGGTTTTTGGCCCTGTTTTTTAAACCCGGTTTGGTGGTTCTGAAACTGCCATTTTAACAGTTTTCGAATTCTTTTTCGTATTGGTCATTTGATTTTTGAGGGTACAAATAGATTCATAACATCGATTCTCTGTTCGAATTACTGAATTTTATCCGATTGAAGTTTCGATTGTACCATCGAAATATTTCAATCTGAAAGTGAATCACAACTTTCAGTAATCCAAGCAATCGAAACACCCAGAAAATCTAACACACCCTAGGAGAACTTCCCTTTAACAAATGTACTACTAAACAACCTTGCAGAAAGAGTGGGAGATTTGGGGAGACTCCAGGCACCACCCATATGTCCTTGGGCCACAATCCTAACATTGACCGTTACACATATTTGCATATGTAATTATGTATGTACGATGGTCGTTTGGTAGTTCAGAAAGAAACCTGTTTTTCCCTTGTAATATATGCACGTTTGTCTGCAGGAATCTGCAGCCATCGTAGAACCTGATGATCGAGAGAAGAAAAATTGTTTTAATCATAACTTCAAAAAGTGACCATGAATATGATTGAATGCTAATTATAGAACCTACATTTTCAGCATACTGGAATGCTTCATCGCTCTTCAAACATGACTTCAGGGACCGAAGAACATCCTAGTTAATTACACTGGTTAGATTATTTGGAAAAATATTTCCCAGGTTACTTTCTAATTCTTTTGGTCAAACAAGATTCAAGAACAAGTATGTCACCTTTTGTGCAGTTTTCTTCGCTCTAAGCCGTTCATCAATGACAAAGGCAACCTATCAAAGGCCAAAAACGACTAGCCATGACATGATCAAACTTAAACACGAAGTTACCTCATCTTTCCTAAGTAAAAGTAGCATCAGCTATGGAAACTGTTAAAGATACTCCCCATGTCCCAAAATAAATATGCACAATGAAAAAGACATACAGTGTTAGGAATGTGTAATTATTACACCTTTTAATCAACTAAATGACAATTGTACCCATAGAGAGTAATGAATTCTCCATCTCACAATTAAGGATAGACATGGAAAGTAGGCACTTGCTATGAGATAAAATAGAAATGTGAACACTTATTTTGGGACCGAGGGAGTATTATGGTAAGTATACGAAAATAGGAAGTGCTATGAATAAGGATGTGAAAGAACCTTGTCAAGTAACCTCTTTGGTTCCTTGAATGCTGCCTTCTTGGCCCATTGATGGAATAAATGGGAAACAGTTGCTCGTTCTTCGCTGCTGAATCTGTTTGATCAATGATATAGAAATCAAAGTTGGTTAGTTTGACACTAGAATATTGGGACTTCTGATTAAATAACACATTCAAATCTTTGAGGACCTTTTCAAGAAATCATTTCCATTGCATGGCAAGATTGTTTCATTCGATTCATTGGAATCCTCATCGAATAAATTACCAATGGCTTCATCAGTTTCTGTTTTCACTGCCGCATGGTCTGCAGCTTGCATATCATCATCATTAACAGGAGAGCTTTTATTTGGAGGTTCATGATCCTCTGCTTGCAAATGCATTGAACTTGACTCATCCTATAAACATAAGGCAACGACTAAGAAGTCACGTTGACTTTTACTATGACATAAATTCTTAAGTGCCTTGACTCGTATTTGACAACATCATGAAACTTAAAAGACACCCACCTGGACTTGTAGGAGATGCCTTGGAATTTCTTTCAGGAAACGCGAAGGTTGAAGAACCTGAAAAAAAAAGCAATGTTTTTTTATCAGCAACTAGAGCCAACAAGCTGGGCCGCCCCAAATGGGGACAGCAAAAGCGTCCCCGTTGGCCTCTACAGATATAACGAAAGAAAATTACAGCCAATAAACAGTTATATTACTAGAGATGTTCATTATGCTGCACCTGCCAATTTGAATCCATAGTGATATATAGAATAAAAAGTTTCTTTCTTGCACGAGTTACTGCCACATATAGTAAGCGCCGTTCCTCCTGTCATCGTTCAAGGAAGACAAGTATGATGGTATTTTCAAGGGAGAAACAACATTTGACATAAAATTTATAAGCACGTTACTTTGAATTGGAGAGCATGCTTACCTCAACAGACGCACCGGTTTCTTTCGTGGCGCCATTAAATTCATGCAAAAGGGGGATTTCATTTTCATTTACCTGAAACACTCATCCATTAGTTGTTCTCTTACGAAAATTAAAGTCAGCATAAGTTCTGTTACAGTACCTTTACTATGAAAACAGTGTCCCACTCCAAACCTTTGGACTGCAATGCAACATAAGGATGAGATAATAAACAGATGAAATTCAAGGACTTGAGGTTTTACAGAGAATCAGAAGAATAATCCATCCATAACTTGAACATAATGTATAGATGGTGGCGGGAGAGGAAATGTACCTGATGAATGGTAGTAAGAGTAACAGCATGATTGTTGTCACGCCGCCTGGTACGAAAGTTTTCTGTTTCCCTTTCAGATATAAAATCGATAAATGCTTTAAGTACATTTGTGCACCCTTTTTCGTCAGCGGCATTGCCGTTCTTCTCATGTATATCAAAGTTGTATGATTTTAGAAACTCAGAGACATCATCCAACATATATTGGAGCACCTGCATAAACAGTAAGAAGATCTGTTTATCTGATTACCTACTACCTAAATATATATGGGTGTGGGTGTACTGAAGACAGACTTACCGATCTAAGATCATGTTCTTCGTTTAGCAACTTGCCGCCATCAACATCAAGAACAGCTCTTTGCTCAAGGAGGTACTTCTGTAAAAAATGTATAAAAAGATCAATGGAAAGCTTAGTATATGCAATTAATTTACTGTATATAAATTCAAAAGGAGGCTTTGGCAGCAGCCAAATCAGAAAGATCATGGTGTTGTAATGAGAAGTTTTATAACAGGAAAAAAACAATCTGAAGATGGTGAATGGACCCTGTGAAATAACTTCTCTTGGTGGCCTCAGTTTATCCCAGTGATCTGGGTGCTGATTGCATGAGTGCAGATGTAATATTGACCATCATGTACGATACGTAGCTAATTGTACCATTAACCATACTTGTGGATGTTAAGATTCCAATCCACAAATATTCATCTGCTTTCACAGCTAAGTGTAATAGAAAGAAAGGCAAACCTGAGGTATCATGTTTGCCACTTGTGTGATGACAGTCGAAATAGATTGTTCCTGTAATCATAATGAAACCTAATGTGAGTTTTCCATTGTTCATTGTTTATGGAATTGAGATGATGGATTCATAAGTTTCATTAAACCATGGACCTTTTGGTAACAGGTGACCGGAGCTTCACATTACATATTTATCAAACTTCTAGATCCTAAAAACCTTCTCCCATGTTATGCTACTCCTTATCAATGATCAAATTTGATTTTACGGGGAAAGTTCTTTTTAAAATTTATTCCAGGCACATTTTAGCTATTCAAACAAAATGGATTACATTTTTATTTGATAGCTTCCCTTTTTTGAGAAAAAGAACATATATATATATATATATATATATATATATATATATATATATATATATACACCTTCATTGCTCTTGCAGTTTAAAAACCGGGAAGGAGTTACCCATGTTACTTTTGCCCTCTTGGTTTTAGATAATTCATTCAAGAACATATACTCCCTCTTCTCCAATACGTTGAACACTTTCGGATTCATTATGTCATTTATTTAACCAATCTAGGAGCAATCAAATAATGTTTGTCCTCAAATACCCCTAATCTCCCTTATATACGAAGTCAAAGGTTTCCAAACTTACAAGGGTATAAACAGAATAAAATTTTACTAATTACAAATTGACAATATTATTGTGTTCCTAAATCAGTGTGTCATTTTGGAATGTAGTATGTACTAGAATAAAATAGTAGACAGTCATGCTTACCCTGTGAGCAAGTTTTGAAATCATATCTAAAGCAACCAACACCTTACGCCCTTGGGTAAGATGACTCCTACAATGAAAGATGGAATCAATCAAGTACAATGTCAAAAAATTGCTAAAAGGTAAGTACCATAATAAAGAAGGGGCATCATTGTTACTAATATCGCATAGAGTACGTTACATGACAGTTGGACTCAAGTCAAAACAACTTCAATAGCATGGACCACCAAACAACATATAAAATAAGATTAGAGGTGTGTTTTAGTCGAACCAAGCTGAGCAAGAGCTTGCTCGGCTCATTGAAGAGATTGGTAGGCTTGGGCTAGGCTTGTGGCTTGACCTATGAGATTGTATAAGCTCGAACTTGGCTCAATTCATACAAGCTAGGTTTGTATAAGCTCGAACTTGGCTCAATTCATGCAAGCTAGGTTTGTATAAGCTCATACATGAATAAAATTAAATCCTTCAAGAAAAAAATATATAAGTTATACTAAGTGACTCATATGGACTTGTATGTGCTTGGCCCATGGCTCGTTTAAAGCTTGCATCATTCAGGCTTGTCAAGCAGCCTATTCTTTATTTGAGTCTAGTCTCACTTGATTAATTCATAAAACATAATCCCTGTCAAGAAAAAGGACATTCTAAAGCATCCTATTTATATATTGTAGGTTAGAGCACCCTCTACTAGATGGAAATAATTAAGGTTAGTTAGTCTGAATTAGGATCCACAGAAATTCTGGAGGTGCTCTTTCTATGTAAGGAAATTTTGCACTTAATCTTTAGAAATAAGCATTGCAGTAAAATAACCAGTAGATCTTAGAAATTTTTAACTTCTACAAGTATATATCATTTTTTGCAACTAACCTTTTGAAGGTACCAGAGATCTTTGCACTGAATATATCAGATGCAGCAGATATGAAGCTGCATTTTCTTACGGTTGAAACTTTATTAATATGTTCAATTACCTGCAAAGGGGAAGGTAAAGAATACATTTCTCGGTGAACTTATCTCAGAACAGTTAAGTGATGAAATTTCCATGAAAATGCAAGCATATTATGTAGAAACTGAACACAGTGTAATGCTACAAAAATTGATACCCTCTTCTTTTCATCTTTCTCTAGATGTAGTAGGGCCTTGAATACTCGCCGATATGACTCATCATCACATGCCACCAATGTTGTTCTGAGCATAGACATAATGGCCTTTACCACCTGTCAAACTTCCATTAGTAAATAATAAACTAAAGGCAATCACCATGTACGGATATCAGAATTGGACACAAGAGTTTGCCTGAAGGCATCCATTTGCTAACCTTTTTTCTGTAGAAAGCGACTCCATGAACATTGAATGGAATTTTTCTTTCACGGAAGGCTGTCTGGAACATTTTACCCGAGACCTGTTACATAGAATGTACAACCAACAGCAGCTTAACAAGTTTGCATAAATGGATGAAAGCTTTTCTTTGAGGAGTAATATATCATGCTAGTTCAGATGGATTGACCTGTCTCCGGTAAAGAACAGCGATCTCTCCAAAAGTGCCTTTGACAGATGAACCCGAAGAAGTAAGTTCTAATATCTTGTCAACAACAAAAGCACACTGTGCATCCTCATTACAACATTCTTTGACAATAATCTGAGTAGATGATCAAGATAATGAAAATCAAACATATACCTTATGCAATAATTTATCCAAGTGTAGTAACACTTAAGTTACCTTAGACCCGGAAGAATTATCAGTAAGAACTTTCTTCAACTGACATCGTTTTGAATTATTCCGTATAAGAAATGATGCAGCATCAACAATACAACGGGTAGAGCGATAGTTCTTATTTAGTCTGATCTGGAATAAAATCATTAAAAGAACAAGAGGTATTTTTAAGAATACTCGATGTTAAAACTTCATTGCAAATCCTACAGGAAAGCCAGGAAGCAAGGAAAAAAACATGAAAACAGAAGACAAAAAAGGTTCAAACAAAAACAATGAGTACCTCCTTGTGAGGTTGAAAATCTTTGCAGAATGACTTGAATCCACTTGCATCCGCACCGTTGAAACTGAAGATTGACTGCATTATGATTTAATTCGAGCGCAAGTTATTGTGAAGACTTGAAGATGAGCTGAAATTAGAAAGAAAATAAAAGGTGGAAATTAGAGTGTCAAACTCTAGATAGGTTCGCAGTAGATATGCACCTGATCCTCGTCTCCAACAATTGTTATGCGCTTATGTGATGCAAGAATTCGTAACAAATCATATTGCATAGCACTTGTGTCCTGAAACTCATCTATTACGATTGCTTGCCATGACTCCTGGCACTCCTTGAAAACTTCAAGAGACATACAACCAATGCATGTCAAAAATGGTAAGTTCTACCAAAACAGAAATCAAATATACACAGATGCCTAACCTTCAGGAAAACTGGTAAGCAGCTTGACAGAGCAGCTAATTAAATCGTGATAATCCAGAGCATTGCATGATTCTAATATGTTCTCATATTTTCTAAGAATTGCAGCCTGATACAGATTCTAAAATCAGACTAGTAATTCAAAAGCTAATAAATTTAGAAAAATAGATTCTCTTAATAGATCTTACTCCTATCTCATTTCCCATTCTCTGGCAATCTTCAAAAGATTTCCCAGAAGCTTTAGCCTGAAATACAATACAGCATAGTGTAAAGCTAATACATGATTCACATCTTAGAATGAACAAAGAAAACTCAAAGAACTACTTTTTTATCCAGCACGATGAAATAGGAGTGACTGCTCAAGCAAGAATTATCTATGGTAGAAGATTGTCTAGAGATGACGTGAAACTATTGCTAGAAGCTATGTGTGTATTTTCATGATAATCGCTTAAAAGCAAGTCTACGAGTAGGAGTGCTAAGGCAAATTGTAACTCGGTTGCCAGATATGTTGCTCTTTTGTTCCTTTCTTCAAGGTGATTTCTGATTTACATTACATCCCACTTTATCAAATACAATCTTTTATTTGAAACTTAACAAAGGAAAAAAAATTAAATCAACTAAGTTCCCTCAATGAAAATCTAAACGCAAACTATGCTATGCCCTTAGATTTTTCTTCTTTGTTTCTCAGTTGCTAAACTGCTTAGATGGGAAGCAAAACTGGATTATTAGAACTTCAGGAAGAAATTTCGAAAGCAAAATATCACATAATTTGGACAGTGTGACTTACTTGTGCCACGAATTTCAGCCATTTCTTTGACTTCTCCCTAAAGTCTTCTGGGCGATTTTTACTGACATTAGCCTCCTCACAGAGTTTGTCAGAATCTAAAGCTTGTAGGTTCTTTCCAGTCTCTGTGAGGCGCACAGCTTCAATGACTGCCTTTCTTTGTTGTCCCTGACCATATAGCAAAAACTCTGGTGTACGACCTAACCTATAATGAGAAAACATGTTAGCAATCCTAGAATAAGCAATAACAGTCACTCAAGGTAATGTATGAGACTAGCATCTTCTTCACTTTGTTCTTCTCATTAACCATAGCACCATAAGTGTGACCTTTGTGCTTTGTTAATAACATCCATTGCTTTTGGTATTATAGCTATACAAGCCTAGCATGTGAGAGTTTTATCTCATAAACTCAAGATCCAAAGTTAGCTGTCAAGCTTTCTTATTATATTAATATTCAGATAAGGGATGGGACACATGATAGGTGTTAACAGTCCTTTCTGAAGCTTAGTCTCAGACATGTGCTCACCAAGTTCTGAATACAAAGTTACACTTTGTGAAAGAAAATGACATAGTTCACTGGTCATACGGTTATGTTAACCATAAGTGATAAAGATTTACATACTTCTCAGCATGTGAACGACAGAGTTGCAATGAGAACGAGTGGAAGGTGCTGATCATCAGTTCCTTTGCTGCTGCCTTCCCAGCCACTGCTCCAATCCTATCTCGCATTTCAGAAGCAGCAGCCGTAGTGAATGTCATAGCCAAAATGCAGGATGCTTCAATGCCCTAAATTTGTTTGTTGGTCAAAAGAGACACATATAAAACTTATAGAAGTCACTAAACTCTCCATCACAAAGACAAACAAGAAATAATTTGATGAATTATAGTTGTCACTGTTGACCTTCCTAGCATTCACAGTGATCAGTAGTTGCAAGTCAGTACCTTGTGAAGAAGCATTAAGACACGCCCGACCATGGTAGATGTCTGACATGAGAAAGAAAAGTGAGAATATATACGTAAGCAATATTTAAGGGATAGGAAGAGACTAATAAACCAAGGAGTACAGGAATACAACCTTACCACTTCCAGGTCCAGCAACAATCATCAAAGGTATTGAAATGTCACTGCAGGCTGCTTCCCGTTGCCTATCATTTAGAGACTGCATATATTTTGCATACTCCTCAGGCATGCCTCCAATTTGCAAAGCCTGAGAACTCTCAGACTCTTGTTTCCCGCATCCACTGTCACTACTTCCATCTGAAACATTATCACTTTGTAAGTCCTGTAAAACAAGAGCACTCACATCAGTTCTCAGTTCACAGCTGTTCTTTTCAGCAAGTGCACTCCTCAGATGAATGTCACAGCTAGACTCCTCAGCTGCTAGCTTGGGCTTCGTCCCAGACTCGCATAATTCATCAATTTCGGCTAGAATTGAATCATCAAAGTCTTCATAAAAAATGGTAGGCATTATTGTGGAAGACTCGTCAAAACTAGAACATGACTGGTGTGTCATTGGAGTCTTGCATGAAGTTAATCCAATATTGGTTTCCATAACAGCACCCAATTTCCTTTCATTCAAACAATAGTCACTGGATTCCTTCTGTTCAGCTGGGATGTTGTTTCCAGGACTTACATTACAAACTAAAGGCCTGATCGGAGTTTTGAAGGAATCCAAACTTAATTTATTCTCGTCTGGGTTCTCTGTACCATGCCCGAAGTCAATTCTACTTACAGAAACTCCCTTGGCACATGAACTCCCACTATAACTTACTTGGCTGACTGGAGTCTGAAATGAACTATGAGCTTTTCCATTCTCATCTGGTGAAACCCTTGTCCCCGCAAGCAAACAATCATCACTTTTACCAACAGATGGCACCTTGAAATGAGAACTTCTGACAGACCCACTCTCATATAATTTATAGTTCCTAACCGAAATAGGAGTTTTCACTGAAATGTCTGAAAGAGGCACTCTATTGGCACTGCCAACAACAGATGCAGTTTCAACCCCCTTCACAACCCCAATTCTACAACACAAATCGAAACAGAAGCAACTATAAACACATTTCATAAATAAGAAAAGAACATATTCACTTAAATACAATCGGGAAAAAAGTAACCGCACGCATCAAAATCATTTTGAGATTAAACAGAATCCTAAGCAAAGAGATTAAAAGGCTTTACTTGTGAGGAAATGAATCGAACGCGTTAGAGGTATCTCGAGGGCGCTTCCGATCAAGAAGAGCTTTGGCAGCTCTAAAATTTCTGGAAATTCGAGCCCTTTGTTCATCTGATAGTTGTCCAACACCGACATTTTCTTTGTTCATCGTCTAGAGGCAAACGTAATTGGATTCAGGGAAAAACTTGATAGAGGATATGAAAAAAGCGATGATCAAAACCTAGGGGTAACCGAGTGGAGGTTTTCGTCCGTCTCCACTCTCCGGTGTTTTCCCTCCCAAGCTGTTGCGTTTAAATATGTCCTTTTTCCTGGAGGTTAAGAATGGTCGGGTTGTTTGTTTGTGAAAAAAATTATGTATTTTAATGGTTTTAAAACCCGATCTTGTATCATGGTTTTTTTAATCATTCAGTATCTTAATTCCATTGTAAACAATTACCGAATAATTATATTTCATTTCCCACAATATTATGAGATCCTCTTGGTAATTTTGACCACTTAAAGGGGTTGTTTGTTTACCTCTTAATAGTTTCATTAAGAGGCAACCTCTGAATCGTTAAAATATGAATCTTGTTTGGCAAAAAAAATCTGTCTCTTAATGGTTCTAAAACTCTCTGAATGATTTTGTATATTGGATCTCCCTTAACCATTAAGAGTCTTAATTTCATTGTACACAATTACCAAACAATTATCTTTTATTTTGCACTATATCATGAGATTCTCTTAATCATTCTGCACCAAACCATTCAGCAATTGCCAAATAGTCCCTTAATTATTTCATACCAAACCATTCAACAACTGTCAAACAGCTTCATGGTATTTTTGGACAATTAATAATATGAACATCAAATAATTTTTTGAGATTATATATTCAATCTTTTAGTTCTTTTATAATTGGTTTTTGTTTTTTGTTTTTTTTAACTATACAGCTAATACCCTAGGAGAGCACAAATAGACTAGTCGTTGCATGCAGTGACGAATCCATATTTTTTGTCGAGTGGATGCATCTTTAAAATGGATCAAATATTTGTAAGTCGTTCTATGTGTGTTTTAGCCGAATTCACTGTTTCAAAAAGATTTTTGAGTTTTTGAGTTGATTTCGAGAGATTTTTTTGGTCTTTTTGATTGTTGTTCCTTGTATTTTCTAAAATCTCAGAGCACCGCTCAAAGTTTTAACGGGTGGTGGGTGAACATTTCATACCCAGAAAATTTTACTTGCGAAATTCAGTTAAGCGATGGCAGATGTCAGCGGCATGGGACCCTGTTCGGGCATGAATGGGTCCACCCTGATCACATGTGAAACTTTATGGTCACAAGGGCTTTAAAATCACCTGAATTCAAACGGAGGAAGATGAGATTTTCACCACATCACCTTGAGCCTTAATTAGTGCATGACAACCCCCAAGTGGTTTTTCCTTATGAATCAAACAAATTTTACATGAACAGTCATGGCTTCTTCTTTTTTGCAAAAACGTCTTGAATATAAATTGAAAGTGTGTGTCTTTCACGTAAACAGTGTTAGATGACTAACCGAACACTTTTACAGGAAAATGACTGATTGTGATGTATACTGTTTGATATATTTTCAACTAAAACTGGGAACTCTATAATATATATTATGTATTGCTTTCTTGGGCACAATCAAAGACCTTGAGACTAAGGTCTTCAATCTCACCTGACGGCTCTAGTGTTGTGGCCGGCACAAAAGGGTGTTCATCAAACTGTATATAATATTATCATACAGGATACATTTTAGAATTTCTATGGTACATGTTACGATTTGCACTTTCATCAAAATCCGTATTGTGCTATACGATTTTTGAATTTGAATTATAAAGTTGCAATTCAAACCAATCAGGAACAAATTATTGTATTTTTATGAAAAATGTACAATAATATTTTATAAATAATTAAAAATATATGGTGATATGCTCCATAAAAAACAGTTCATTTGCTATAAAAACCAGTCAACTGTCATTAACAAAACAACACAAATCGGTAGAATCTTAGGGGGTTGAATATTCCGTTTGTGTGAGCAATAGCATGTTCAAGAGTTCAACCATTTATGTGAGCCATAACATGTTCGGGATTGGAAACTTTGTATTTCGTTATGGATTGGGACTTTTTAGTTTGTTTTATAATTGTGTCGTGCATCGGGGACTTTCTTAAGAATAAGAAAGAAAAACCTCATGTAAGGGGGTGTTTGAGATTGCTTATAAAAACAACTTATTAACTTATTCCGGTCTGGTACCGGTAATAAGCATTTTTGAGTGTTTGGATAAGCAACTTATACCGGTGCCAAACTGGTAATAAGAAGTTTTTGAAGAAGTTAAATCCTTATAACTTATAATAAGTTGATAAGCAATCCCAAACACCCCCTAAAGACCATGTAATAAAGTTTGATTCTATTCATGGAAATTCCATAAATATTTCATTCCAAAATTGGAAACATATGGGATTTTTTTAGAAATTGGATGCAGTTACTAATTCATGATCTGACATGTGTAGAATGAAAACTTAATTATATGGCATGTACAGAATGAAAACTTCATTCTTGATTCTACGAGAATGTTTATGAAAGCCTTTCATTTGCTTCTCTTCGATAGAAGTTTGATTTTCCCAGAATGTATCTTAATTTTTGGCCTAATTTTTCTTCTGATGGTCGATTCAACCTCTGATAAAAAAGATACATCTTGGTTATATTTTATATTTTCAACAAGTTTAGTAATGAGCATAACGACCCTATTGTTCTGATGGAGAGAGGAACCTATACTAGGTACAAAACGCATAAATTACATTACAACGTATTTTATGTTGCAAGTTTTTATAGTTTGAAACATGTACGGTTCGAAAAATATACTCAAACTACGGAGTCGTTTACTAAACGCTTACCCAGGTAATCACCTACCAAATCAAATTATCTTACTGGATGAATATGACAAGGAGCAAGAATCTTACCCTGTAAGAACGAATGCAAGGACCGGGAGTCTTACTCGGTTTACTCGGTAAGTGATGGTGATGACTCTTATCATGGTTAACGCTTACCGGGTAAATTATAGCATCTGATGCCGTTTTAGTGAATTAAAATCTTACCCGATGAGTTAATGATAGTGTTGAATTTTACCGGTAAGCGTTTTACCGAAAAGTGTTTGGTAAACAGCCCCTACATGGCATCTGAATCATGATTTTGATACTAGACCACACCCCAAACATTAACTCCTTGTATTCAATATAAATAGTGTAATTTTAAAGGATTCAATGTCTTGTTTCATAAAAAATGTTAGAATCATTTATTACATTTGAGAAATTTGAGTTTCTATGCTTAAATGTGACCCTACTATAAAAAAAATATGTCCAAACAGAAAATATTTGGAAAATATGCTTTCAGTTTTTATACAATTGTAGAGAAATTTATAAAAGTATTATCTGTGATTTAAGGAAAGTTTTAAGGCTTTTAAGATTACACCATAAATTTTGTAGTTAGCATGTCATTAGAGATTCCGTCCCTCGTCCTAACAACCGTTCATTTTTTTTTTATTGTATTAGGGTATAACGAAATTAAACATGCATACAATTCAGACATTATTGTTTTATAAATATTTTTATTTGTGGAATAGTGATTTTTTGTAAACATATTTAATTTCTGATATTATAATTATTAGTAAACATATTTGATTAAATTTACGATGTTTAAATAATAAAAATATTAAAAGTAAAAGTATAATGTTATAATAAAATAATTTTGAAAGTAAAATGATATAATAAGAAATGTCATGTCAGCATATCGTACATGTGGACAGCCTACGTGGACAATGAGGTGACAAAAAAACCCTGGTATAATATGTAAATTTAGTTTAAAGGGTTACTCAATGCTATAACGGGTAAATTTCTGAAAGTACGATACCTAGTAAAAAATATTTTGAAAGTACATTGTTGTAATAAGAAAAACTGAAAGTACAATTCTATAATAAGAAAATTTGTATTTCGTGCATTTTTCCCTATACTTTATTCAAAAATAAAAACATTATCGTTTTTCTCAAAACCACATAAAACCGTATTATAACATCGACAAGGGACAGAATAAAACGAAACATTAAAATCGAGATATATTTCGCTGCATTGCACGAGTATCCTTCTAGTATAATTAAAATATACGAACTATAGAACTTTTTAATCCTTGTATATCTTACAATAGTCCTATTTTCACTAGGAATCCTTACTATGCAGAAATTCTAAAAGCATCTTCAATGGAAGGTTCTTATAAGAGTTACCATTGGAGATAGTTATTATAAGAACTACCATCGAAGATAGTTCTTATAAGAATCTTGCATCCTTTGAATTCTTGTACCTTGGACCATATCTTGAACTTAGTGTGAAGCGACATTTTGTTAGTTTTTTTATGTATTTAATTGACTTTATAATTATTAATATGTATATGTTATTGATGCTGAAAAATTATATGGGGCCTGCAAAAAAGATTTTTATAGAAATTAGCATTTGCACTCTTTAATTTGATCAGTTGAAAATGATGCAACAAAAAAAGTATAAAAAAATTAAATTACTATAAGAACCTCCATCGGAGATGCTAACAAACCCTACAAATACAATCAATCTTGATTGAGTAGCCGTCACCCAAATTGATATCTATAATCGCAGTCTCCAAGACTCTGTTTACCAACACAACGCTAAGAGGGTAAGAGCCATTTATCAGGATAAAATATTTGAACAGTAAAATGACCAAGTAAGATCTTTGACAAAGACCATCCATCGTGTTTAACAATGTAAGCATATCTTTTTTCAATAAGAAGCAATAAATGTTAAGGGAGGATTTGGGATTGTTTATAAAAACAACTTATTGACTTATTCCAGTGTGGTACCGATAATAAACACTTTTAAGTGTTTGGATAAACAACTTATACCGGTGTCAAACCGGTAATAAGAAGTTTTTGAAGAAATTAGACCTTTCTGACTTATAATAAGTTGACAAGTGTTTTTGTAGAAAAACATAAATTGTTTCAAATAAGCAATCCCAAACACCCAGTTAACCGGTAAGAGATGGTAAAAGTTTAGTAAACCGCCCTCGGAGTCCCTAAACCAACAAAGTGGACTCGCCGTTAGAGAATTCTAATAACAATAACAAACATCATAAATTGCTTCTGAAGGTAACATGAGCATACAAGAAACATAAAACACAAGAACTTGTGGTTCAAAAATCAGAAACCAGTTGCAACCAAGCATCTAATATTTACAAACACATGGATAACTTGAGCTCCATTGTACAACCAAAGTCTACAAATGTTGAATCAAAATGGGTCGATCACAGAGACCCACCCGGTTATGACAAATCCAATATCGGATATAACATGTAACAATCGTCTCATAAATTCACCATTAGCCTCTCTTTCTGCTAATGATTAGTTGCTCAAAGTCCAGGTATAGATTCAAGATTGTATTTTTCTGAGGTTTGTGCTTCGGGTTCTTGGTTCTGCAACTTTGGCTTTTTAATGGCGTCGAGAGTTTGTAAGTAGTTGTAAGAGGGGTTCCGACTTGATGGCGGGGCCGGATTACTAATTCTACTGGCAAGAAAGCGACGAATTAAGCTTCTCAGAAATGGAGACATGGTGTCGGGTTCGTGTTCCAAGTAGTACATCATTCCACCCATACAGGCACAGAACAGAGCCACCTTTAACAAATTACAAGCAATTATCAGACATTGGCTATAATTAAATATGATACCTGATCAAAGTTCTACAATTACAAAGCTAAGGGTTGTTTGTTTATTTCTTAATAGTTCCATTAAGAGGCAACATATGAATCGTTAAGAGGTGAATCTTGTTTGGCAAAAAAAAAGTCTGCCTCTTAATGGTTATAAAACCTTCTGAAGGATTTTGTATCCTGGATCTCTCTTAACCATTAAGAGCCCTAATTTCATTGTACACAATTACCAAACAATTATATTTCATTTTGCACTATATGATGAGAGCCCCTTAATCATTCTGACCACTTAATAATTCTGCAGCAAACCATTCAGCAATTGCCAAACAGCCCCTAAGATTTCTTATGGTCAATCTAACATGAGTAGTTTTATTACTTTACCAATCTTAGTATGTGGACAGAACTGAACTGGATGGGCGAGTGAGGCAGGAGAACGAATTCTAGAATGTTTTAGGGGTTAATCTAACATGGGTAGTTTAGTACTTTACCAATCTTCTCACATCTTCCTGATTTTTGTTCCACCCAATTTGGTGGGGCAAGAAAATTGCTTTTTTGCCCCACTCAAGTCTCGTCCTGTCCCAGCCTAATGTGGCATCAATTGTGAGACAACTTCTTTTCGTACTATCCGGTCCCGCGTAGGGATGTAAATAAGTCGAGCTTTTAACGAGCTAATCGAGCTCGAGTTCGTTTATCTTGAGCTCGAGTTTAATTACTCTCAGCTAGAGTCGATCTCAAACACAAAAATAAAACTCGTTTAACTTAACGAGCCGAGCTTCATAACACCAATGTTCGACTGGGCTCGTTCGAAACTTGAACTTTTCGAGTCGAGCCAAGTCATTCAAGCAAACATTTTTCTTAGCCAAGCATGCTCATATGTACATAAATCTTACAATAAAAATAAAAGATTATCAACCTCAAGCCTATAAACGAGTTGATTGATTGAAAAGGTTCGATATTTCAAAAAATGTTCGAGCTCATATATTGAAAAGGTTATTCGACTCGATCCTGGTATTTTTTTTCCCGAGCCCGACTTGAATAACCTACTACTCGACTCGGCTTGTTTACACCCCTAGTCCCGTGTACCAAACACACCCTTAGTAAGCCAGGGGTCAGTGTATATAGATAACTATGTATTTTAGATGCAAAGCATAAATTATATGGAAATGTCCTAGTGACATTTTATTTTCGGGTAAAATGTGCAATTTAAGTTTGGGGGAGGAGGGGATATGTGATGCCATGCAGATATTGTTTCCGCCATTCAGAGGTAATATCACAAGTTAACAAGTATTACTTACCTCAGTATTCTTGATATCTGGAAGTACGCGGCGGTTGACTAATATATACCACAAAGACTCTCCAGCTCGTGGAAGAACATACAATCCAAGTTCTCCTCTTCTACCTTTCTTCTCCAAAAGTACAGATAATGCAGCTAATCCACCTGCAAGCCAATATACAAGCTTGTGGTCTTGTGATGCCGCTTTTCTGTGCAAGCAAATGACTCCCTTGCATTACCAAAAAGAAAGCTGTAAGGTATAGACATGACTTTTTAGATACAAGTGAGTATTAATATGAGCAGACTTACCTGAAAGATTCCAACAAACGAAGACAGGAATGCTGTTGAGCGAACAGCTCCTATGACTGCATGCCAGCTGGTCTTAATTGGAGCATCCATGAACTGAAGAAGAATCATAAAAAATGACAAATCTTATTTTAAGAAGAAATACCAATGTGAGAATTGGGAACTATATAGTCAATAATGAAAGGTTTGGTACGCAGATCGGACTGGAATGGAATACAAAGGACTGGAGGTAGGCGGATGAAAAAATTGTGCAAGGTTTTAGGGTTTTAATTTGACATGGTAGATTAGTAATTTACTAATATTGTCTCATCTCCCTGATTTTTATTCCACCTATTTTGGTGGGGTCCTGTCCTATTGCAGTCTAATGTCGCATCAAACGCGGGACAACAAGTTTTTGTTCAGTCATGTTCCGTCCTGCCGTGCATACCAAATGCACCCTAAAGGTCAATCTTTGAGACTATACAAATGTAAGTTGTGTAAGAGAAGCAACACGAATACACACAAAGGCTAACCTTTTGCAGACGCAGAACAACGAAAGGTACAAAAGTCAGTGAGAAGTAAAGGGGAAATGTTTTCTTAAACGTAGCTGATGATGCATAAGCGTTATGAGCCAAACATGATTTTGTGCCTGGGTGAATTACTGAACAAGGTATGATAGAAGGAAACTCTTGCAATGGCGAAAAATCGGCACCCTTCACAGTTGATAAGTAAGAAGAGAGCGATGCAATATCTACTGGGGACCCTCTACAGCAATCCCTGACAGCCTTGTATACAGGCTGAGCAACAGGCCCAGTTTTCTGAATAAAATCTTGATATGATTTTGGCAAGCTCTCAGGACGCATTACAAAAGCATACATGACCTGCAATGGTTAATGAAAAATATAAATGTAGATTCAATTGTTATTATACCGTTTACAAGGCAAAATGTAAACTTCAAATACAAATCATTCACTTAGCAATCAGAGTTAAGATTGTAATAGTTGCATAAACATCATAGAATTTTTCGATTTGTCTAGAAATGTTACATTAAAAGGTCATACTTGACACTGCTATTTGAATCTATATGAAAAAAGAAAATAAGATGATCATTTGAACCTTGATTTATTGCAACTTCAGAAATCTGGAGTAAAATAGTGATCCATGTTACCTGAGCACATGATAAAGCAAAGAGTAAAGAATCCCCATGTCTCCATGAGCTTCCCCATAGGTGGAACTTGTTCTTCGATTTTGCAGAATTGTAAGCACACTGTTAAACAGCAAAGAAATTAGAGCCTTTTTTTAGAACCCTCCCCCTTTTGTTTGGGGTTTAAAAAAAAATAGAAAATCTTGCTTTAAAAGTATGTCCAAAAGCCAAAATTGCAAATTTAAGTTTGTGTAGGATCACAACATTTTCTTTCCCATTATGGAAAAGATCTAAGTTTTGCTACACCAACCAAATCGCCAAACAAAAACTCTGAACGGCTTCTTATATGCCATAAACATTGGTTGCATAGCAAGTTAATTATGTACCTGAGCAAGCCTAGCAAGAAGATATAAAGCAAGTGTTCGCCTCCGGTTGCAATCATCTAATGCAAGAATAGACAAACCTGCGACTGAACCTGCTAAAATTCTGCTCCATCATCACCTTTAACAAAGTCATATATGTGAAATAGATACATTGGGATCAGATATTTTTACAGAAGCAGATAAATTTATTTTACTCTATGCTTGAACTCAGGAATATAAACCTTTATCAACAAAAAGCATGTATAGACAAGAATGTTATCACTTATTACACAGTAACTTACGCATTGAATGGTGTTTCTTTCTTCCTCCACTTCCTCAACAAGCATCTAAGAGCATGATATGAACCAGTAAATCCTCCAAAAAGTAAACCAACCCGGCATGCCTCCTCTCTCACTATCAAGTCTTTCTCTGATACAAGTTGCTGCACATAACTGAACTACTTACTACAAAGAAAATGCTTCAAAGAAAGTTCCATAGAAATGGGTTGATGGAAAGTAAGCGAGTGCAAACAAAATGAGAATTGAGGAAAGGAAAGCAACATTATCATCTTCTGTGTCCTAGCGGTTATGTGAATCGATGACAGTTAAAACCAATGAATCTTTTGGCTTGAAGCAGCTTGATTTTCATCCATAAAACTGCAACTTTCATCATCTTGGAGACAGACGAGTTCATTTTTAAGTATTCAATTAACAGCTTGTGTACCAATGAATCTTTCTGCTTGGAGAAGTTGCAGTTTGATTTTCATCTATAAAAATTGCATCCTCCATCATAATGGAGACAGCCAAGGTCATTTTTAAATCTTCAATTAATAGCTTGTGTACTTCTAGCCCATTTCTCACGTAAATAGATGATAAAAAGACCATATTCTAGCTTCTTCTGGTAAGAAAATATGTTTTTTTCAGAATTGAACTAAACTTGGGATGCCAATGTGATAATTGAAATGCTACTATAACTTTAGGACTGCTAATATACGTTCATATTTTTATAGGCTTGCCCCTTCGGCCTTCAGAACACTACCCCTTAGACAAATGTTATTGTTCTGTTGATAAGTTCACTGATCTAGCGTTAATGACACTCAAGTAGCATTGTAACCACCCCCGAGTATGTGTCTAGAAGATTTGTTGATGTTGCTCAATAGCAGACATTACAGAAAAACTACAACTGCTAGCCATAAATGAATTTGGATGATACAAGTCAGAGGTTTAGAAATGAAAAATGGAGCTTAGTTAGTTCAAATTTGAGCTGATTTTGCTCCCATTCCGATGCAGAACCATGGATGATGCGTCTCATGGTTTAGAAATGCAATATGGAGCTTAATTAGTTCAAATCTTTGAGCTGATTTTGCTCCCATTTCGATTCAGAACCATGGATCCTGCGTGTCTCAGATATAATACCCGTCAGATGTGTGTGTGTGTGTGTGTGTGTGTGTATATATATATATATATTAAGTTTGGGTTAGTTTCGGAAGTTGACCAAACTTGAGGGGTTATTTCTGCATAACTCGCTTTAACTTTGCAATTTGGATGATGGGCTTGGGCTTGGGCTTTTGTATATTAGGGTTTAATTAGGGTTTAATTAGGGTTTTTTTTCCTTATATTTAAACCTAACCCTAATCTTTTTTTTAACCTAATCCTCCTCCCTAACCCTAATTCCTCCTCCCTAACCCTAATTCCTCTAATTGTGATCATCGTTAGAGAGAAACCCTAAAAGCTTGGAAGAGTCCATTGATAACCTAGAAGGGAACCCGACGGCCAAAAGCAAGCAAGGTTCCATCGATTTCTTGTCGGTTTGAGGTAAGTTTTTGTCCCTTTCTCTAATCTATACATTTAGTAGTTGAGTTATAAATTTTGGGATTGTTCCGATGACTCGAAGGTCAATGGCAGCAACTAGGGGTTTGTCAAAATCGTCTTTAAAACCCAAAAATTCTTCTCGTTTTTCTCTCAAAT